TTTGGCATACAAAGGAGTCTCATCCTCTACAGAACGATCGAGGTCGGTTTTTGTCTTTGAGCAATCATAGAGGTTCTAAAAGTCAACCATTCAACTAGGAAAATTCCTCTCCCGTACGAACCACCTCTACGATTACCTTCAATTCCGCCAAGCTTGTAGCACTCTTCCAATCTTTGTCTTTTCGAATGCGTGTCACACGTGGAAAGCGAATGGATATCCCACCAGCCGAGTGATTTTCTGATTTGGAAAACTCTGCCCCTGAAACATTTAGTGCTCGGTTTTTATATTTATTCAAGCCTCAAATAGTCTCAGACATGCTTAACCGCTCAGACCTACATGCAAAAAAATTAACGTTGCAAAGAAAGACTATCCGGGTTTTCGAAACATGCCTGTGATTTCCCAGACAGGAGCTACTTGGGGGTCTTTGATGACAAAGTCTGGCACAAGACTTCGTGAACAATGCAGCCATTTCGGTAGAAGGTCGAAGTCACGATCAATGCGAGTCATCTTCAGAATAAATTTCATTACTGAATCTTCCAACATATATTACTTAATAGAGATAATTAAGTCACAAAAAGAAACTATGCGAGGTCGTCACCACTGATTACTGTTCAGCGACGATGACCCAAAATGTAAATTGTAAAATAATGAACTAAAGATAGACTAGGAAGTCAGCAATTCTGTAAGAGGGAGCTCAGCATGCATACATATCTGCATGTCACGGTCTCCCATGTCACGTTGAATTCAGTTTCAGTAGCGCCTCATTTAACTAAAATTCTACATGTGCCGAAGCGCGACGCTACGCAACCGCACGCGTCTCATTCTCGAAAGCTGTCCAGGCCAAGATTTTCATATGTTACCGCTCATAAGTTCATATATTATGTTCATATGTTCATGTTTCATTCGGGTACCAATTACACATACCTGATCTTTTAATTTCTTATTTATCGCTTCAAGAGCATCATCTGTATGTCCATTACCACATTTGGTGACCGTTCGATACGATTTTGTGTCTTCGTCGTACACGCCCATGAGGAATACAGACATCATACCACCTGAACAAGTGCTTTTTGAGTACTTTTGCTGGCCCGAGATGAAAGATGGCGATCAAAAATTTTTAGTGGCTCATCTCTATGACGTGCACTGGTCACAACGTAATCAAAATTGTGGTCACCCGACAAATCGGCTTATATGCGATTGAACCTGACCGCTTAGGTGAATAGCAATCTTAATCCCATGTTCCTATAGATTTTCAGTCCTGTAATTACTGAAGGGACCAATTTTATACATCATACATTTTTCTAGCCCCATCCCACAAATTAATGATTTCAATTCAGTAATTTCAAATCATATCCCCTGACTCAGAACTGGAACTTCCGAGACTCTCATTGATGCAGTATTACCGATTTGGGCGATACGGATAACTCCAGCTAAAATTAATTGTAGGTCTTGGTTCTGAAAGCCTTCATTTCGAATCGCAGAGACGCCTACGCCGGTGCTGCATCTGTATGTACGGATGCTTTTAGAACTGAAATCAAAGTTTTGATCGAGTACCGTTTTTTTTCGGTAACTCTTTATCAGAGCCCTGAAAACAGCTCGTGAAGGCCATGCGTAGTATACACAAAACTAGGTAAATAATAAAGTGACAGACTAGAAAAACCAGAAAATCAGCCGAAAATCACAATTTACTATTTCAAATTCAACAATAATACTACTTTGTTACATATTCGGAAATTTACCTAATTAATTTTTCACTTTGTTTAAACATATTTTCTCCAGCAAACATCGCTCACCTTTACTTCCAGTACCGAAATAGGCTCCAAGAACGATAAGGTCAGCGGTGTCAGCCATGCGCCCTTCCTCCAGATAATCTTTCTTCACTTTCAACCAATGACGCTTTCCTGGTTCGTAAATAGATTCAATATCCTGAAAACAGGCACTCCGTTGAGCCTTCAAGTAATAGTCGGTTAGGGGGAACGGCGAACCTTCAAAACCAGCCCTTCTAAACCCTCATCAATAGCCTTCCAAATCATAGTCTTTAGAGTGTCGTGATCCTAAAAAATATGAATATTGAATTTATGAGAACTTTTAAAGGGAATAACTGAAACAAGACATCTTAAAGTCTTACTCCGTGTCGTATAAGTTGATAATTCGACATCATCACTCGATTCTGGACCTCAGACATTTGAGCTTCTAAAAGCTTCTTTCGATAAGCTAGTGCCCTGAAATAACGTGAAGGGATATTTGACCGTTCCTGTTGATGCCGAATATGGTGAATAGGAAAGCAGGCAGGCGAGCAGTCAAACTACGCGTACCTATTCACGAACACCCACAATCTTGAATGGAAGTCAGGTGTGTTTAGCGCTTCTTGCTAGCCCTTGGGTGGTGCCCACACCGCCGTGATTGTGTATAGGATCCTTTCAGGTGGGTCGCTTGTAATGGGAAAGCTTCGCACTTCAACTATCATCTTTTTTTCTAATCGGGCAATCTGCTCCCAATTTGTGCTCATTTTCCATATTTTTAAATCACCCTGGCTCACTCAATCAAATGCTCGCCTCGCCCGGGAAGGATCTCCGCTCACTCACTATTTGTTCGCTAGACCTTGGACATGGCTCATCTTCGCAAACCTCTCCGTAGTCCTGCGAGATGCTTTGGGTACCATATGAAGTACGTGAAAAGCACCGCTTACGTGGCGAAAACTCCGCTCCTTATCCCTCTTCTTTTTGTCTTTCTTAGACTACTAAACTCTACCTTGACTATGCTCCCAGTTGGTCTTCATAACTCACGCTTCCTGCACTTTTTTTTTTAAATCTCGACTCAACTGTCCGAATTCAATGGGACAGTGCCTGATTATGTGAACGACGAACAGAGAAGCGAAAAAGTACAGACACCACTTTACCGAAGTGTATGTGCGAGAGTTCTCGCAAAAGAAAAAAAAAAGTTATTCCACTGATAGGTAGTAGAACCCTACCTTGCCGTTAGATCCTCGTCGTTATATCGAAGAATGTCGAAAATAAATACGCAAACAGAAGCATCTTTAAACTAAAAAAATCATAATAAAGATGTGAAATTGCTAATTTTTTCCACAACTCTCAAAGGAAGGTGGGGAGACAAAGAATCACAAGATGTGTCTAACATTCAGCTTACACTACTACTACCGTGGAGCTAATGGCCACTGCGTGTTTGGGACACACGATGAAGAAGGGGAAGGAGCGAAAAACAGGAGAGGAATCAAATGGGGTTGGTGATGAAAAGCGACAGGAAGCAGTCGATAAAAGTCATTGCTTAATACTTGCAAGCAACCCCTGCGAGCTTACTGACACAGGGAAGTTGGTTTACTAGGAACCGATTCGAGCAATCTGTAGGTGATCCCCTACGATGCAGATGTTGGGAGGACTTTGAGCGGGAGAAATCCTTAAAAGATTGATACTTAGAGCTAGAGCTTTTTATTTTATATACGCTGAGCCCCCTTTCAGTTCTCCTACTCATATTCACAATACTGCCAAAAAAAGGAACCGAACCTGTTCCTTCTTATGCACTCCAAGTGTCCCAAACGGTAGCGGTTTACCAGTTGCATTGTCAACGAGAAGGACCTGTAGAACAATTGCCGTCGAAAAGAGATGCTGTGGAGTGGAGGACAAAACAAAGAAAAGTGAGAAGTAATTAACGGGCAAGACCCCGATGAATATTTTTGCATGAACCTACTTCAGCATCAATTATTAGATCCAATCCAGCAGGAAACGCTTTCGGAATGACGTCCTCCAGTTGTGAAATCTTGAAAAAAAAATGGAAGTCAGGGTAAGAAACTAGTGATGACCAATGGTAATTACCAAAAAGTATCTTATTTAAGGAAAGAACATTACACCAATACCTTGTGATGCTGCACAGGTTTCAGGCTTCGGGAGAAGTAAGAGTAGGATGTACCACTTTTATGGATCTGAAGAAGACCTATCATAATTATTCCGTATTTCAAAAAAGGCTGAAGAAGTACAGCAGCGCTATGAGGTACGATTTAAGAGATGTGAGATAGTAGCATAAGGCAGATGCTTTCATTGGTCGAGGTATTGATTTACAAAATGAGCTGCGTCGCTTCCGCACGCACACCTGGCTTACACTTTTGGCTTTCAAAAAAGTTGAACCACACCTGAATCCGTTCGCCATCATATTTAATCTCTGCAAACATCCCATTTGCACATTTCTTCATTGCTTGTTCTACCGACTTGCATGGCTCTGCCTAAACATGTATCAATGAAAAAGGCAAAGATCTTTGGAGCAATGTTCCTTGGACGGTTGTGTTCGACGGACCAATTGCTCTTTATGGGTAGATTTTCTCATCACAAGGTCAACGAATCCTAACGGGGAAGCATTATCGAAATTTAATCCCAAATTGTCCGATGTGAGCCAGAGGCATTTCCGCGAGTTCGGTAGTTCGAGTATGAGGGACTATCAAGCGGCAACCTTCAGAATAGTTACGCTTTTCCCCACTACACTCAAAATCAGAAAGGATAAATAATTGCCGTCACTACAAAAAAGGCGATTAATGGACCAATTCCACCAATATTCAAAAACTCATAAGATGGTGTTATTATTTTTAAGGCGAACCATAGGAATGCTTCCCATCTGCTTAAGCTTTTAAGATTCCTATAATTCAAAACATCTGAAGACATAGGTAAATCGACCACCACAACAGGATTAGAACAAAAAACTGACAAGCATGGGTAGTACGGGTGTTCCGAGGCGAATTCCAACTTCCATTGCGGCAGCGACATCTCCAAGTTGACCCTTCTTAACCCTGAACATTGTAAGTAAGTGAGAATATTTCATTTCCGGAATAGGATTTCTATTTTTCATTTTCATTTTGGATCAACTAGTGTACCGAAATTTTGTTCAGAAGGGACAGTCTGGATTCCTTATCAGGTTGACTTTGCAAGTGATTTTGTAGGATACACATAAGTTCGACGATTCTCATAGTTTTGTAGACATGTCGATTGCGTTACCCATTCCAAAATAGGATTGCTGCGTGCCGAAAGAGAATTCCAATGCTATGTGCGTCATTAGACGATTCTCAACTCGTAGTGCTTGGATAAACTTTCCACAAATAAGCTATGATAGTATTTAAGTAGTATTTACAGATGCAAAACCACACCTTTCAATTATTTCCGCTAAATCACGGCAACTCTGGAAAGCTTCATAAGCTGACGGATGTAAACCGTCCAGGATGTGTTTTACACCCGCATTGATGCGCAAATCTTTCATGACGAGTCGTAATAGATATTGTACTTCGGTTGGGGACAATCTGAAAATGCATCTGACCGGAAGTTTGCGATAAAAATACCTATTCTTTCGAAAAAGTCTTCTTGGTTCATTTCTCTCGAGGAGGAGCGTTTCGTGTAAAGCAACCAGCTCAGAATCTCATCGTAAAGAGTCGGAACTAATGATGGTATTCTTATCGAAGTAAAGTAAAATTTAGAATTTGATCACGGCGAGACAGAAAGCTAGCCGCACTCATTCATACCCTTCCGCGGCGGTGGGAACGCTCTAATACCACCACCTGGCTTGAAACCACCTGTGGTGGCCCTTAGGACAGGGGATATTTTTATTAGGCTGAACAATGTCAACCTGCTGTGCATCACTTTGGCCATAGTACGACAAACCCACTTTTCCACCATGTATCCTGAGGAAGAGGCAGTGGGCCTTGGGCATATGGGCAGGAGAGGTGATAGGAAGTGGAGGGCGGGAGGAAGGACATTAATATTAGGTGTGTGCATTAATTTCCGCCGCTTTTCGCGTGCAAAAACATACTTGTTACAGAATTAAAACCAAATGTTCATTAACCAATGTAGTGCCCATCGCTAGCTACAACTTTTTACAATCTTTCTGGTATCTTGTTGACGCCGGGTCTAACAAAGTCTTCACCATTTGAAGCGAACCTGTCATCCACCCATTTCGCACTTCTTCGGCATTCCGGAAGCATGTTTCTGCCAAACTGACTTGCATGGACCGGAATAGGTGGTAATCAGAAAGAAAGAGCAAGATCCGGAGAATATGCGGGCTGAACAAACTGATCCCATCCAACAACCGCAATTTTTTAAGGACATTCTTTGCAACATGAGGTCTGGCATGTTCATGGT